GCACACATACACATGCACACATACACACACACATATACACACATACACATACATACATATATGCACACACACGTACACACACACACACGGAATAATAAAATTTTAAGAATAAAAAATGTCTGTGTAAGTGTGTTTACTAACACACCAACATTTTTATTTTGAGACAGAGTTTCTCTATGTAGCCCTGGCTGTCCGGGAACCCACTATGCTCAAGATGGCTTCAGATTCAGAGATCTGCCTGCCTCTGCCTCAAGAGCACCGCAATTAAAGGTGTGTGCTACCACACCTGGCACCAAGGGATGTTTTCCAAGGACATACAAGTGTGAATAGTGGTTATGAGAAGAGCACACGAGTTAGGAGGAAATATGGTGTTTTGATTGCACACTTATGTTGTCTTGTGGTGCTGGGTCTCAAGGCCAGGCCCCCATGCAAACAGCACTAGCGCTTTATTTACTCCTGAGGCTTAGCCCTTTCATTTCATATTCCCATAAACCATTTCCTTCCCTCTCTGACATGCAAATACTTTACCAACTCCATTCACAGAGGAGCTCTGCCCGTGTAGTCTATACGACGTCCTAGTGCCTTACACAACACACGCTCTTCGGAAGTTCATCAAGGAAATTTACTTGAATAATTTTTATGGAGTAATTTACTAAAAATGCTGCCCTTTGAAACATCCCAGTCCCTGGAGCACTTACCAACAAAGGAAGATGTCTGTGAACGTCTCTGCTGTGGTGAAGAGGGCAAATATAATCCAGTACATCATCCATTTGACCTGTTGAAAGAAGGAGTTGGTAGACAAGGTCATGGCTGCCTAGTCCAAGGCAGTGGACGCTGAGGCAAGTCCAAGCCATGCCATTTGCACCCGTCACCCTGTCCCCCTACTTCCCTAACTCAGGTGCAGTTCTGCTACACGACTTCCACGTTGGGAGCAAACAGGCTATTGTGCAATCAGAGTGAGAGTCCAAGCAAAACCTCTGCTGGGATCCTAGACTTAATCCAGGTTAGTTATGCCTTAGGCCAAAGCCCCAAAGAGCTGAGGCAGGAGCTTGAACCTGTCAGAATGGCTGCAAGTTCAAGAGACTCTCAGAGAAGGGACATCAAGAAGAGAAGACCCCAAAATTGACACTATAAGCTGTCTTCAAAGTCTTGCCCAGAATCGCCAGCACTCAGGGCTCTCAGGGGGATCATGAGGTTGAGGTCAGCCTGGATTACAGAGCAGGAATCTTTCACAAAAATAACAAAGCTCTTGGCTGGACCTTGAACTATAAAGAAACAAAGTAAGACTTCAAACAGGGACTTAAATACACATATAAATGAAATTTTTTAAAAAGATAAAGTATCGGGGAAAATTGGAAAAGACTGGGCGTCCTATGGACGCCAGGTGTCCCGCACACAGTTCCAAATTATCCTGGGTCTTCAGGTATCTTACGGCTCAACATTGTTAGGCTATTTTTTATAGCTTCATAGGTTATAGAAAACTGATTTCAATGACAATATTGTTTCTATAAGGATGCAAATCAATTTTGTCTCTGGAAGGCACACTGAAATTTCATTCACTCCTGCCCAATGAAGCCATTTAATATTAGTTACCACATTAATTCCAACAGTTTCAGGGTCTCACTCACTATTAACAGCTCCCCAAGGACGGTGACCACTGCATAGCTAAGAGGAATTGGCAGAGTTATTAAGGACATTGGATGGGAAGGTCATCCTACCAACTGTAACCACATGCATCCTTAAAAGAGAACTCTTCCTAGCTGGGTCCGCGGGAGAAGTGAGTGTGGAGGACCACTCAGAGACCCAATGCCACTGACTCCAAAGAATGAGGAAAGGGTTTGTGCTGAAGGGCAGCTGCCACTAGGAGCCACAAAGGCAGGGAAACAGACTCTCCTCCAAATACTCAAAGAGGAATAGCCCTGCCTGTGACTCCAGGATTGAAATCTAACAATGCATGTTGTTTTATGCTGGGCAGTGCATGGTAACTTGTTACAGTGACAATAAAAAGCTAATCTGAAACTTGTATGAAAACTCTAAAATAATAACAAAAGAACATAAAAATGAGAGTGTAGCCACAAAGGAGTTACTCAACATTATAAATATTAGTAGTCATGAAGAGGTTATTGTTACAGTCTTAAAATTTTGCATTATCCTGGGATAAAGATAGCTCAGCCATTAAGAGTACCGGCTGCTCTTCCGGAGGACAGGGGTTCAATTCCCAGCAACTACATGATGACTCACAACTTTCTGTAACTCCAGTCCCAGGGGATTTGATGCCCTACACTTATGGACATCCAGGTAATACATCCATTCACATAAAATAAAGTCAAATAAACTTGCATTATATAATAACCTATGCTTTTGTACATATTTTACAAATTATAGATAATAAATATAATCTCAGACATAACCAATTTAAAAACAATAAATAGATATTTTTAAAAGCTAGTTCAAGAGACCATTGACCCATCCCAGGAGAATGGTGTGAGGCAGGTCTCAGACAGTGGTTGCAGAGAAGGATGGGAGACCTGTTTGGAAGAAAACAATAGCTCTAAGGATGAGGGGGTACGGTCACCAAATGGACATGATAGTTAATAAAGCCGGAGAGTGGAGAGGCTGGAGTCACAGGGAAGTCCCCGGGTTTCTCCTGGACAAATGGGGTTAGGAGGTGCCCCCAGCAAAGAGTCGTCTGGAAGAGTCTTCATCAAGAAATTCCCTAGATCAAATTGACCTGTGGCAATGTCCACAGGAGATGGTCTTGATTGCTAATTGATGTTGGAGGGCCTCGCCCACCGTGGGCGGTACCATTCCCTGGGCAGGTGGTCCAGGACTACATAAGGGAGTGAGCTGAGCATACGGCTAATGGAGCCATCAAAGCAGTACTCTCCATGGTTTCTGCCATACTTCCTTGGCTGTGAGTGAATTCCTTGGTTAGAGACACTGCTGCATGACTAGCAAGCAGGCCTGCCTTTAGGATCCTGCTTGAGATCCTGCCCTGGCTTCTCTCAATGATGGACAGGGACCTAGAAGTGTAAGCCAAATTCTTTCCTCCCCAAAGTTGCTTTTGGTCAAAGTGTTTTC